CCGTGAGCCCGGCTTCTGGCTGAGCAGTGCTCCCCCTATGGGAGCACACTGACCACCAGGGGGAAGTTCCTGCATTGAGCATCTGCCCCCTGGTAGTCAGTGCGCATCATAGCGACTGGTCATTCTGGTCATTCAGTCCTTCGGCATAAACCTTGCTTAGGCTTTTATATATATAGATATGTTAGTTTAGCGTTTTTTTCTGATTTTTACTAATTTAAAGAATCATATTTTCCAGGGGGAAGTTCCTGCATTGAGCATCTGCCCCCTGGTAGTCAGTGCGCATCATAGCGACTGGTCATTCTGGTCATTCCAGTCCTTCGGCATAAACCTTGCTTAGGCTTTTATATATATAGATATGTTAGTTTAGCGTTTTTTTCTGATTTTTACTAATTTAAAGAATCATATTTTTATACTGCCTTCATGACATATTCACAATGAAAAGCTAAAATGATAGATCTTAATAAAATTGAAATTCACAATATCATGTACGAGATATTTTAAATAAAATATTATTAATAAATTTAGATATTTTGGGGCACCACAGATTAATGCCCTTGTGATATTTTTTATAGTGAGCAGAAAAAGATTCAAATGTATACTTTTAAAGTATGAAACCTACATATTTCATCAGTATTAAAAAATACCAGAGTAAAATCAATTTAAAAAAATACCAGAGTAAAATCAATTATCTATTTTAATGTGGTTGAGTAGGCTCATTTCTCATAGGTATTAATGTAACAGAAAGGTAGTTGGTGAAAAAAAAAATCCTGCAGTTTTAAAGTTGCTTGAATTTTATAGCTGCCCTTGCTCACTTTTTTTTTTTTTTTTTGGGGGGGTGGGGGTGGGGAATGGAAGAAAAGGCTGCAGGTGAGCATTGATTAAATGAATGATAAGGTCTTTGATGGATTGATTTTTTTTCACATTTTTAATTTAGAAAGTAAAAGTTTCTATCCCATTTAAGCTGAAATTATGGCTGACATATGAGAGGTCTGATTCCAGTGCAAGTTAAAGAGAATAAAGTTGCTGCTCAAATGTCAAGACTTCTTGTGGTCCAAGATGATTAAAACTAAACTGTTTGCTATATGAATCCCAAGGTGCAGCTATATCTCAGCTTTGGTGACATTTAGCCAGTGACTTTTCATAGCTGGTTAATAATGTATAGCTGTCCCTATATAAATTTGCAGTGACAGAAGTAGCCATTTGGAGTGGAGCAGTTAATGAGATTTATTCTTGACAGAAAATGCAGATTTGAAAAGTATTTCTAAAAAATAAAGATTAATGTCAAAAGAAGCCATGCATTTAACAGACAAAAGCATCACAACCATTCTTTGGGTGTTTTAACCAAGATCACAGAACTATGTGCAGTGATACATGTTCTATTTTTAATCAACATTCTATGCAGCCCAACCCCCAGCCTTCTCTGCAGCTGTTTTCCACTGACCCTGCATAAATCACAAGGCTTCATCTTAAAAATCATGTCCTTGGGGGAATTTTCTAACCTTTGACTTGGCTAGTTCCACATAACTCATGTAAGTTTTCCATCATAAGACTACTCATATATTTTTATAATCACTTGTCTGGTGCTTGTCTTTTTCACTAGATTCCACTAGCATGATCTGTAGCAAATTTTTTGCTTTCACTGAATCCTCAAGTGATTACTGAATCATTGAATCATCATTAGCAGTTATGAATATTCTTTGCAAAAGTGAGAGTTATCATTAGTTTTTAGACAATGAAGTTTTATAAGAAACTTTCAGTTTATATTTTGACTATTCAATATTAATCTCCCATTAATTATTTTCTCCACTAGAAACAGAATAGTGCTGTATTTAGTCATGTCTGTATCTAATATTATAAAAACCTGATATAGAAATAATGCATAAACTATGAAATGTCACAAGGTAGATGTGAGGAGACTAAGTACACAAAAGGAATATAAGAAAGGAAATGAGTTTACAAGTTATTCATTTTTATTGAACAGCTATAGAATAGAAATAACTAAATTTTGGGTGATTTGAAATCATTAATTTTTATAATTACTGAATTTATGTAACCATGACAGTAATAGAAATGTTTTTTTTTTAACTTCAATAATTGAATGCAAACAATATAAAACAAAAGGCTGGAGTCTACAAAATTGTCATGTTAATAGGTCAAATGTGATCTAATACTAACAATTTAATTTGGAGGACCCACCTATATAATTCCTAATAGTCATTGCAATTTGGTCTCAGTTTCATCAACATGAGCATTTAGGATGAGTATTGGCTTCTGGCTGCCATAACTAATTATTACATACTGGGTGACTTAACAGAAATTTATTGTCTCACACTTTTGGAGGCTAGAGGTCCAAAGTAAGGTCTTGGCAGATTTGGTTCCTGCTGAGACTGTGAGGGGAAGTTCTATACCTCTCCATAACTTTTGGTAGCTTCAGACATTTCTTGGCTTGTAGATGCTGATCTCCCTGTGTCTCCACATGATCTTTTCTCTGTGCATGTATGTCTCTGAATCCAAACTTTCCCTTTTTATAAGGCCACCAGTCATATTGGATTAGGGGCCCTAATGACCTCATCTTAACTTTAATATATCTGCCAAACACCTATTTTTAACTAGAGGCCTGGTGCACAGATTCGTGCACCAGTGGGGTCCCTCAGCCTGGCCTGTGCCCTCTTGCAATCCCTCAGGGGATGTTGGAGAGTCAGTTTCAGCCTGATCCCTGCAGGCCAGGCCGAGGGAACCCACCAGTGCATTAATCCATGCACTGGGCCTCTAGTGTGCATGTAAGATCTTTGGTTAATCTCTTCCCACCTTCCCCCCTTCCCCCTTCCCTCTGAGATTCATCAGTCTGTTCCATGTTTCCATGCCTGTGGTTTCTGCTCCTCATTGAGCGTCTGCTCCCTGACAGTTGAACGGTCAGCTGGCCGGCTGGTGGTCAGTGTGCATCACTGCCTCCTGGTGGTCAGTGTGCCCCCGGTCATTCAGGCTTTTATGTACATAGATTAGTTTATATTCTTAGGTACTAGGGGTTAAGTCTTCAAATATCCCCTTTGAAGGGCACAATTTAATCCAAAGCAATATACAATATAGGATGGGGCAAAAATCGGTTTACAATTGTGAGTACTCAAAACACAGTTTAGTCTTGTATTATTATTTATTAACTAGAGGCCCAGTGCACGAATTTCGTGCACTCGAGGGGAGGGGACAGTCCCTCAGCCCAGATTGCGAAAGGGTGCAGGCCAGGCCAAGGGACCCCACTGGTGCATGATTGGGGCTGGAGAGGGACCATGGGAGGGATCCAGGGCATGTCTGGCTCATCTTCTCAGTCCTAATTGGCCAGACCCCAGCAGCAAGCTAAACTACTGGTCGGAGCGTCTGCCCCCTGGTGGTCAGTGCATGTCACGGCGAATGGTTGAGCAGCCTTAGCATATCATTAGCATATTACGCTTTGATTGTTTGAATAGCCGGCCGGACGACCAGACACTTAGCATATTAGGCTTTTATTATATAGGACTAGAGGCCTGGTGCACAGATTCGTGCATTGGTGGGGGATGTGACCTGTGGGGATTGACCCGCTATGGGAGCGCACTGACCACCAGGGGGCAGCTCCTGTGTTGAGCTTCTGCCCCCTGGTGGTCAGTGCACATCATAGCGACTGGTTGACTGGTCATTCTGGTCGTTCCGCTGTTCAGTCACTGGGCTTTCATATATATAGATTATTGTATTATTTTCTATACAAACAACTATAAACCTGTTTTGTCCCACTCTGTATAAAAATATATAAATATATGTAAAAATACACAGAGAATTTCGTACACACCTCTGACATAGACTGTATATAGATTTTGCATACATGAGTTACTGTATACTGTATCATATTTTGTTTACCTGGTCTTTATTGTTAGTCACAGAGGTGGTTTCCAGTTACTTGCTATCAAAAATAATACCAGGACTATAGTTATATCTGGCTTTGGAGTCCTCTTTCAAGTTCACTAGTTGTTAGAAGAATTCATTTCCTTGTGAATGTCAGTCCCATTTTCCTGCCAGCCTTAGCTCCTAGATGCCACCCTTAGGTTCTTGCCACGTGGAGTCTCCATTTTGCCACTCAGAGTGAGCATCTCATCCTCTTCTTTGACTAGCCATGGAAAACTCTTTGCTTTTAAAAGAGCTCCCTAGATTGGGTTAGGCTCACCCCAGACAATCTGCCTGCTGCCATATAATTTAACATGATCACAGAGCAATAGTTCATCCTGGTCACAGGTTTCACCCACACCCAAGGAGAGGAGATATTATACATGGTTGTGGGTCATCTGCCTACTAGAAATATTATCATTAGTTCATCTTTGACATTTTGATAACTTTCTTAGAATAAATTCCTGACAGGAAAGTTGCTAACTCAGAATAAAAGCAAATGTATGTATGTTTTTTAAACATACTGCTAAAGTCTAATTTTCACCCTTACCAGTACACTTGGAATACCTGTATATCAGTGCATCCCATGTAGCAGAAATGTCTCAACATGCAAAACAAAACACACACACACACACACACCACAAACACACACACACAAAATTATAAATTTCTTTATAAGTTTAAAATGTTTTATATTAAAAGCATTCTTAGACTTCTTAATTCTCTCTATGTCTGAAAACAAGTGTCTTTTCATCATTTTTAAGACACAATATAGCATCATCAAAATCTTTTTGAATGTTTTTAATAAATTTTAACTTTCAAAAATATACCCATATTCATGGCACTTTGTAATCAGTAAATCATCCTTTTTTTTCTACTATTTTTTTTGTTTGTTTGTGTGTGTTTTTTTTGTAATCAAAACTTTATTCCAAGGATTCTCACAAAACATTACAAATGACAGCATTAAAAAAATTTTTAAAAATGCACCACGCTTAAGTCTCAAACAAATTTTCTGTACATACTCCTATCAAAGGAAGTTATTTCCTGTACATCTTGAAAACTGGTCTTCTATTTCGTTTCATTTGACCTAGATCGGCTCCGAGACCTAGAGAAGGATCTAGACGGCTTATCATTTCTCTCCCGAGATAGTGATCTCTCTCTCCTCCTATCTCTGGAAAGGGACCTGGTCCGGCTACGGGAGAAGCTTCTCTATGATTTCTCTCCCGGGACAGTGATCTCTGTCTTCTCCTATCTCTGGAAAGGGACCTGCTCCGGCTACGGGAGAAGCTTCTGCATCTTGGAGATCTGCGGCGAGGTGGAGGACTCCTTCAAGGGCGACGGTCCCAAGAGGGAGACGGGCCTCGATTTCGACTTCTCCTTTCACCATTGGACAGTTCCACTCTTACTCGGCAGCCACACAGGGTTCTCCCGTCTAGCTCTCGGACAGCATCAGCTGCATCTCGATGATCTTCAAACTCCACGAAAGCAAAGCCGGGAGGGTTTCTAGCAACCCACACACTCCTGAGTGGCCCATAATAGCCAGAAGTCCGTTCCAACTCAGTCTTGTCACCGTTGTTCCCAAGATTTCCCAAGTAAACCTTACAATCCAAGGGACAGGAATCACGATGCATTTCGAGATCCGGAGGGAGAAACGCAGCGGCTGAAGTCCACACCCTCCGCCCGGCTCCCCAGCATCCACAAAATGGCGTTTTTTTTTCTACTCTTTTTATCCCCAAAATATTCTCACCATATAGGACAATTTTTCAGTATTACTATTTCAATTATTTTAACTATAGCACTCAGATAATATATTTTTGTGTTGGTTAAAGAAGAACAAGAAGTTTCTTCTAGGATTTAAACACATGGAGATAGGAATTTAACTTCATCTCAGAGATAGAAATTTAATTTACTCATCTAAACATTGTGCCTTTTTCAATTTATATAAATAACTATAATCATAACAATAATAAAATGAGAACACTAAAAAAAATTACTGGCATTTAAAAAGTATCCTAATTCTTATAAATTCTAATAAGCTTAGTTTTACAATTTTTTTGTTATTACATTTACAATTTAAATTAATCCTCAAAATAGAATTATTTTAGTTCTAGTAGAATCCTGAAATTTTAAATGACAAACTCTTCAATTGTGAAACTTATGTCAGTTATCAAGGTCGCATGGCTGGTAATTACCAGAGAGCTTACTCATCTCTGTGTATCATCATCTCATGTCAAGAATTCCAAAGCTTTGTTCTTAATACTGCATACCCTCAGTCTCACACACTGCTCCTTTTTGTTTGTTACATTTATAAATGTTCTTCTGTAGAGCTCCCATGGAGTCAATTTCAGATCCATGATTACATATAGGACTGACATTCCCAGAAAGAATCCAATATTGTAATTTGTCTAAAATAGTTCTATTTCGAGTTGTTTAAATACATCATTGAAATTTTAAATGTTTTATTTGTTTATTCAAACATATGACTGCTCTGGTGTCTGGTTTTCGATGTTTCACTGCTTATATAATGATGTGTTCATTAAAATCTCTTCCATCATTCAGCCTGGGCTTTAACTCTGAGATAGACCTAAAACTTTCTATTAGATGGGCAGCAAAGAGGAATGGTAAATAGTATTTATTCCCTGAAGAAATTCAGCTATCTCATAAAGGCTTAGTTGATGCAAAATAATAATGGTCTGATGAATAGAGTTCTAAATGATTATTTCTAGTTATTTGCTCACTAAATGTGATTAGGGATTTAAAAAAGAAAAGAAAAAAAAAAAGCTTTACATGGCAAGAATTACCAATAATGGAGTTGACATGCTGATGCTGCATTCTCCAGGCTCATAGAGAGATTTCTCCCATCTTATAAATATGCATTCTTTTGATTCAGAGCTACTTAGCACCTGTAAAAGACTGTCTTAAGATTAAGAATATGATATGAGCTATAATTAGCAATTGCAAGGAAGGAGATCACAGGCCACCATATTAACCACATTGAAATATATATTTAGATCAATTGTGGTAGGCTAAAATCAGGAATCAGTTTGCAAATTATATTATTTCCATAAATACATAATTTTCCTGCTCATCATGTTTTTATAATGACATAATATCCTAACACTTGTTTGGATATTAATATATTTGAAATAGTCAATGATAAGTGTACATGTTGAGGCTATATTAGCTTTGTAATAATTCCAATGTATATACTGTGTCTTCAGAAAGTATGCATCCCTAAAAGGTGTTTTGACTCCTACAACTAAACCACCTCAATTAAAAGCATACCTAGAATTGTTATAACTCATAAAGCTGCGAAGTTCATTTTGAAGCTCATTTCAGGCATAGCTGGATCCAGGGATAACTCGGTTCAGAAATTATTTCTCTACCTTTTGACTCTAATCCCTGTATATGTTGGCTTTATTCAAAGTTTCTGAGTTTTGGTCCTATAGCCATTTATCTAAGATAAGACACTAAATGTGTGTGGTGATTACAAAGAACAGGAGGAAAAATTCAAATGCTATTTTTTGTTTTGTCTTCTTCATGAAGCATAATAGCACCAAGTTTTTCTAAGCTTTGCATGAATTTAAATCTTTAGTGTAGGGGCTTTCCATATAATGCCTGTTCACCAAAACCATGAAGAGGCTTTTTTATTTATGGCATGTTCATTTCATATCATAAACTTGGATTCCACCTTCAAGATTTATATAATAAAATATAAGAAAAGTATTTGTGTAGTGCTAATAATGAAACATAATTTTTAAAAGCCCCAATATTTACCAAGAAAGGGAATTATATTTACATACTAGAGGCCTGGTGCATGAAATTCATGCACTCAGGTGGGGGGTCCCTCAGCCCGGCCTGCGCCCTCTCGCAGTCCGGGAGCCCTCAGGGGATGTCTGACTGCTGGCTTAGGCCCACTCCCTGAAGACAGGGGAGGCTCCCTTCACTACCTTCTGGCTGAGTGGCACTCCCCCTGTGGGAGTGCACTGACCACCAGGGGGCAGCTCCTGCATTGAGCGTCTGCCCCCTGGTGGTCAGTGAGCGTCAGCGCAACCGGTCATTCTGCCGTTTGGTCAATTTGCATATTAATTAGTCTTTTATTATATAGGTTAATATTAGTGCTTGAAAATGGAAACCTCTGTGAATGTTCTGAAAATGCTTTTGGTTACTTTCTAAGACCTGCCTTAAAGTTTGTTGAGATGTTTTAATGTCCTGCTTTATTTTAAAACTCATGTCTTTGCTTTCATGTGTCTATATTCCTACTACTTGTCTTCTGGTTGTTATCCAATAGACTTCTTTTGGTTTACAGATAAGAGGGGGTGTTTTAAAATGTGTCTCCCAAAAATTCATATGTTAAAGTTCTAACCCTCAGAAGATGGCTATATTTGCAAATAGGGAATTTAAAGAATTACTTAAGGTAAAATGAGGTCATAAGTGGGACCTAATTCAATGACTGATGTGTATATATGAGGACATAAGCAGAGGAAAGATCATATAAAGACAAGCAGAAGAAGGCAGACTTCTACAAGCCAATGAGGGAAGCCCTCAGAAGAAACCAACCCTGCAGACACCTTGATACAGGTCATGTGGCTTCCAGAATTGTGAGAAAGTAAATTTCTGTTTTTTAAGCCACCCAGTTTATGTAATTTTGTTATGTCAATCCTAGCAAACTAATCACAATTTATGTAATTTTGTTATGTCAATCCTAGCAAACTAATGTAGAGAAAAAGGAAGTAGACAAGAAAAAATTCCTGAAGCAACAAGTCACTATGAAAAATATAAAGTCATTAAGGACAAAATTAGTGGATTGAATATGTTGGTAATAAGGTGACATTAAAGTGACATTTTTTGTTGTTGTTGTTGTTGCTAGGAACACCCTGCATCATATTCTTCACACCCTTACAAATTCCTGAGGAAAAGATATATTTGGGAAAAACTGCTTGAAAATGAGCACACTTCGTTCTTTCAAGGCTATGGCTTCAACTCTCCCAATACAGAATATTTGATGAGACATGGTGTCAGGGAGGCTATAGCTCAAAGTGAAGACAGTCTGAAAAATATACATACTGAATGGCTAGGAATCTCCCAAAATATGAAAGAAATGTGAATATTAAAAATTCAAAAAATATTAAAAATGGTGAGGGTTTGCCTGAGCCCCAACAGGAACTTTTGTTGTTGAGGTAGAATAACCAGCTGCATGACATTTAACAGATCTTAATAAGTATAATTAAGAGAGTATTCATATATTGATTTTAATAAGCATTGAATTTGCTCACTTATATATTTCATTATAAACACAGTTCACACTCTATTGCACATATAATAGAGAATCTAGTTATCGCTTCTTTAGGGAAGCAACATATAGAGCTATCTATAACATTTCAAAAGGAAGCAAAGTTGATTAAAATGTATTCCCGCATGCATATGCACATTAAAGTTTGAAAAGCACACAGGTCATGTTCTGACCATAGTGTACCTATATTAGAAATCAAAAGTGAAAATCTTTTATAACATAGTTATTTCACAGATATGAGTTTCAAAGAGTTCATAACATATTTCTCACTATCCATACTATTTTGAATAAATGTGACTTTACTATGTAAATCAGTTTCTATAATTGGAGCTTCAGTTTGTTTTCCTCCACTCAGTTTTTTAATGACAAAATTGCAAATTAGAAAGAATGATCCTCAGGAAATGTACAGTTTAGTAAATAGGTAGAGATCAAAATAGTTAATCAGCATTTTAATAAGCCCGGTCAAAGTCATAGGTGTTCTCAAGAGAATTAAATGATCTGAATATAAATAATCCCAAGGGCATTTCTTCAAGTTCAGCTTATGCAGTGATTTATTAATTATGAGCTGATTTAGGCTGATGAGTGGCCAGTTTGTGTGTGTGTGTGTGTGTGTGTGTTTCACTTCTATTATCTCAGAGAATTTTAGAAGGCATATATGTTTTATGTTGGAGAATTCCCCACCATGTTGACTATATTAGTAAAATCATTACTTACAATTAAAAATAATTTTTGAAATTTTTGATTCAGTGTTGAACTAGAATATACATTCAAACTTTAGCTTAAAATTAAACTCCAGAATGAGCAGAAATAGCAGTTATCTAAAAAGTATACTTTATACATTCCCATGTCTCTTCTGTGCCTTGTGGCAAATGGGAAAAAGGGAATGCTTTGATTCATACTTTCCATTTTAAAATAGTCAGATATCTAAAAAGGAACTAGATAAAATAAATTTCAAAATACATGTTATATTGTTAATTAAGTATCAGAGCTTTTTTCTCCCTAAGTGTTTTTACTTAGGGCCAATTTTCCAAATCATGCAGCTATAGGATTTTTTTTATAAGAAATAAAAAAATTCACTTTTAATATTAATCCCATCTCAAACATATCATCTTATGTACTATTTATTGAAGAATCTAGAATCTGTCCCTTGACAGCTGGCAAAAAAAAGGCAGTATAAATACAGAGAAAATCAACTCAATAATTAAA